TTATCTTGGCTATTAAACATGAGACGCTGATAATCGGGTTCTCAGTGTTTATATTAACTCGTACCACAGAGAGGAGAAAGATGTATGTTTGTTACTCTCATCAACAATGTTGTGTTGCAGCTACCAGCCTCATGTTGTTTGTGATAGGCCCACATCTTAGGCTAGTTACCAACATAAGCCTTTGTGTCTCTGCTTTCTAAGGTTCTTGGCTTTTTGTTTCCACAAGGGGACATAGGTTTTTAATTTCTTTAAGCCGATGCTCAGGTAATGTAAGTGGAAGAGAAGAAATCATAAAGCACAGTCTCCTCAAAACCAACATGTAAACTGGAACGTTATGTGTACAGTAACCTGAATACCTGGGTTTTGGGGTCTCTGCACCCCGACCTTCCATTCAGCTGATGAAACTCTTCATGTTGTTGAATGTTTTAACATATGAAAGACAAAATACACTCATGATTTTCACAACGTACTGTAGCTGCACGAAGATGAAACTGCACCAAGTAGCACCCGGCTAATCCTGGTCCATGTGCTAATCCTAATCCCAGAGCTAATCCTAATCTAACCAGTTAAAGTCTTTCTGATATTACTTGCTTTTCACTTGTGGTGTGGACAGTGTTTGGTTCACCACACAGTGAAACACAGTTTGTGAAGAAGCTGAATTCTTCTTATCCTGTTCTGTCTGATCTTATCCTGATTCTGAATGAATGTGGCTACACGGAGGAGGAGGCAGGAAGGACCCGCTAAGGAAGGAGAAACAGAAATCTGAGCGGCTTCGCCGCAGTGCTTCTGGGAGAATATGAAACTAAATCAGAGGTGTTTGGTCACATCGGCTCGGGAAAAACCACTCCTCGGGGCAGACAAGGTGGAATCGCACGGCTGCTGCCGATTCGCCCTGTGAGCCTCCCGCTCCAGAACATCCCAGAGGTCTCTGTCGGGTCGAGACCGGGTGAGTGCGGAGGTCACTGGAGGAACTGACATCGTTAGCATGTCGGTGGAAGCAGTGTGAGGGGGCGGGTGCCAAACTCCGCCCCTTCCTTCTGCATGTGGCAGCAGAAGTACGGATTCATCCAACCCAGTGACTGTAGCCTCAGGGTTTAAGGCCCAGGACCCACTGTGGCCTTCGGCTGCTGTGCTCCATCCTCATCAGGGTCCAGAGACGTTGTCTCACAGAGCACTGACATCACATTTCAGCTACAGCCTGTGCCCCACGGTTTCCTGGCCCTGGTACGTCCTGGACTTCTCTGTAGACGGCCAGTCCTCGTTTCAGCCTCTACACGTGCCCCCGTTCACAGGCACATGGCCCTGCTCCTCTGTTTCTGGTTCCTTTGCTCCTATGCTCTTATCTCCTTCCTCTTTGTCTCCTCTTATTTCTCGCTCTCTACTATAGTCCCCTCTCCTCCTATATCCTTTTCTTGTTTCCTCCCCTCCTTTCATGCCATTGACTCCTTTCCTCTCATTTCTCCTCTTCCTTTCTTGTTTCTTTTTCTCCACTTTCTCCTCTCCTCTCTTCTTTCATTCTCTTCTATCATCTCCTTCTCCACATTCTCCTCCCCACTCTTCTTTCATTCTCTTCTATCATCTCGTCCTCTCCTTTGCTTCTCTTCTCTCATTTCTTATTCCCCTCATCTCCTCTCATCTTGTTTCCTACTCTTCCTTGTCTTCTCCTTCCCTTGTCTCCTCTTTCCTTTTCCTCTCTCCCCTCATACTGTTACTTCCTCTTCTGGTCTCCTCTCCTTCTTGCCTCTCTTCTCACATGCTCGTTTCCTTTCTTCCTCTCCTCTCATTGACTCCTCTCGTCTCTTCTGTCATTTCCTTTTCTCCTCCAATTTCCTACCCTGTTTGCCTCCTCTCCTTGTCTCCTCTCTTCTGATATCCTCGCCTCTCCTTGCCTTCCCTCCTCTCCTTGCCTCCTCACCTCCTCTCCTTCCACACAGACTGTCGGTGCTGAATGAAACGAGGCGGTCAGAGCCAACAACCCTCCAGCTGAATGAAACGAGGCGGTCAGAGCCACAGAGGCTGAAAACACTCTGCGGGATCTAATGGATGCAGATTTGATGAAGCTTTAAATAGATGAAGATTGAGATGAGAAATGAGGTAGAGACATTTGTTCAGAGCAGCGTGGTAATGAGCTCGGCCAGCCACTGCAAAATGTCCGTGTCTGATTACACGAGCATCTCAGAACCATGAAATAAAAAGTGCTGGAGGGAACAAACAACCCCGAAATCAAAAGAGATGGTTTTCAAAGTAAAGTATTGTAACACTATCAGTTCTGTGGTATTTAAATGCCAACATTAAAGGTGTCCAGTGGAGTCACTGGCCAGTAAAGGCACCATGTGGCCTTGTGCTGAGTGGGTTTCTATTTTCACTGGTACAAAGTGCAGGAGGTGCTGGTTCCACAAGGTTCGTACCTGTTTTCTGTTCCAGTTCAGACTAAACGATTTACTCAGTGTTACTGAACATGGAAACCCTGGTAGTGTAGCCATCATATATGTTCTGACCACCAGTTTCAGTTACTTCCTTCTTTCTCTACCTATCTGAGATGAATGGACCTTCCTCATCCATGTATTAGTTACCTTCAACACTAATAAGATATTTAATATTTCCTTCAGTGACAAAGAAAAGGAGGCTGATTCCTAATTACTACTACTACTGCATTACCCATGAGCCTCAAGGTGGCAAAGAAGAAGTCTGGTGGCAAGTGAAGGTAAATAAAGCAAGTTTCATAATAATGAAGGGACCACAGTCAGCATGGTGCACACACACCATGTTAGCAGCACCATCCTTCGTGCACAGTGTGCCCCCCCGATGAGCCTCAGCCCAGTGCTAAGGAGCCTCAGTCCAGTGCTCCCTCTCTGTTCGCTCTGGGTTTGGTCTCCACCACCTCCTGAGGGAAACCTCTGGCTCTGGAGCTGCTAAACGCTCCACTGTGTCCCCCAGCTGGTCTCTGACCGGCTCTGTCTCTGGTTGCTGCTGAGCAGGTCATGGACAGCGGCTGTTTAAAGCGACTTTGAGCTGAAACTCATGGTAAAGCTCTGTACAGCTGAGGGAAGCTGCAGAGTCATTGTTCTCTACAACCGAACAATAAACAGTTTCATGTTGTCGTTTCCACTGCTGTTAAAAAGCATATATTATAGCTGCTCTTTGTTTATCGTGCACTCCCTGATACATTAAATAGTTTCACTACTTTGATGCCTGTAAACAGTTCCCTTCTTCTGGAAGTCCCTTTGTGATAAAAACACACACTGAGACACACACACACACACACAAATCCTTATTCGAAAACACTCCGTCACGCCTAGCCTTTCCCTCCAATCAATTTGCGACACTCTTGTCTGAAACATACTTTAATGTTCCAGTGCTCTTTCTTCTGCCACTGCTATTTAACACACTTCTGTATTATCCTCTTATCTCTGCCGCCCTCCCTCCGCCGCTCCCTCCGCCGCTCCCTCCACCCTCCCTCCGCCGCTCCCTCCCTCTCTTGGTTCCTTGTTTCTGCTCGGAGCATTCGGAGGCTCTGGCCCTGGATCTTCACATCATGCTTTCAGGTGGCAGTAGACAGGAGATTAGAGTGTCACAGACACATTGCAAAGAGCTTAGACCAACATGGAAACCACACATCCTCCACTGCATGAGCATACATGTGGAGACTGATGCCGTGTTTCCTGGCGATTTAATAGGTCAGACATGGAAATAACTCAGATGTTACACATCACTACCATCGCTTGTGTGTGTGTGTTTGAAAGACAGAAAAAGTGCATCTAAAGTTGCAGCTCTCCTGCTTTGACCATGTTTGTACTTGTGTTAATCTGAGAGAGCAGAAGCCAATTTACAGAGTTGCGAGTCTATTTCACAGCTGTTTGACCACACACACAAAGTGTAAATGACGATGTATTGCTCGGGGCTTGTGACATTTAAACACTCTTCAGAAATGTGTGTGAAGCCGAGACAAAGTCAGAAAGAGATGGTGTTGTGCAGCGAGTCTAATGTAGTATGACCAATCAGAAGGCTGCTGATGGAGATGCTCAAACTATCTAGAATATCATTGAAGTTCTCGCATGTGTGTTTTTGTTTTCCTCTAAAGTCTTGTTTATGTCAAAGAGATGATTTCTGTTGGTGTGTTACATCTCTAAAAGGCTGAGTGCATCTTTTCATGTGTGGGGGTGTGAGGGGACACATGAATAAGACTCCTTAATGTGTCCGGCTGCCTTTGATCCTACATTTCCCACAATGCAACTCACTAGCACCACTTTATTTGAGCTTCACTGCATCTTAAATGCTACAGGTTTCAAACTCCCTGCTCCCACTTTGTGCCACAGACTTTCTATTAACAAAGGACTCAGTGTTCTTCCTTCCTTCAGTTATACTAAATGATTAAATGATTACCAGAGTAGTGGCCAGTTATTCTTCTGTCCACCAACTAATCAATTCATAAACGAAGCCCTGCAGCTTCTCGGTGAAGTCTCCAGCCTGAGCCAAGGCACCTCCAGAGCCACAGAATCACCTTCTACAGATGTTTCCAGAGGTTAAGGATGAGTGACTATGACTAGTAAACTGACCTCTATATGTAAACTAGGTGAAGGGCTCCTTTCTGGGCCAATCTGTGTAAGTTGGGCTGTATAATGACGAGATGAAGACAGGTTAGCTCTCGGACTTGGTAGTGATGAGAACTGTGTTGTGGTTTTTATGAAAGGCCTGTTTCAGTTGCACACAGTCTCTCTCTCTCTCTCTCTCACACACACAGTTGTAATTACAAAGACGTGCATTCATTCACACATTCACAGATGGAGCGATGGGTGGGGGGGGGTTTAGTTCGTCTTAATCAGCAGGGAGACTCACAGATTTGTATTCTTCTCGGTAATCCACCAACACATCCCAGAGACCATCAGTCACTGCTGCTGCAGCCTTGATAAGTGTGTGTCGGTCTGTTCAATCTGAACCAATAACACACTCACACACACACACACACACACACACACACACACACACATTAGAGAGCTTACCTGAGATGATGGATGCGTGTCGGAATTCCTCTGAGAAATGGATCGGCTCGTACGGAGACGTCTCGTAAAACTCTTCCCCTGAAAAACAGAAAACAGAGGAGCTAGTGTGCACGTACACAAACAGCAGCTTCGCCTGCGATACCAGGGACGCACACACCTGAGCGTCTGTTTACCTGCACACTACCTTCAAAGTCACACTGACTGTGCTGCTTAGGAACAAGCTTCTCTTTAGAGACGAGGGAAGGTTGGTGCTGAGTCTTCTACAGCTGTTTCCTTTGGACAATCCCCTGATATATCAAATATAATACAAATAAATACCACTGCTCATTCTTCTACCTGTGAAGCTGCAAATAAAAGCTATACATGTAATAATCATTGTATTTCTTCATGTGAAACAATGAAAGAAAAAACTGTTACTATGACACAATAAATGTATAAATGAATATGAAATATACTGTAATATATGTATATTTCATTACATGTCTTTGTTTAATTTGTCTTATTTGGGTGTTTTAGCTACTAGCTCGTCTGAATGCACACACGCTTTATGCAATAAATGACACAATGAAACAAATCAAAGCTCTGAGACCCTCCCCCGAAAGGTTTAGCCTCTAACAAAATGACTACAACACAAAATAGACACCCATCAGGTTTGTCTTGTTCGCTGGATGCGAGTGTGTGTGGTGACAGCTGAGTGTGTGTCACCCTCCAACAGCTCTGTGATCTCTAAAGATTTCCAGTGCGATCAGTCAGAGAGCCGTTTGTCTTGTATATGTCATCCGCACAGAGCCGAGGCCTGTGTGAGGCCTAGTTGTCATCATTCCTCATGTTTGCTGAGCTTCATCCACTAAAAGTGTCTCTTTGACTGCTAGAAAACGCCGTGCACTCTCGTCTGTAATGCATCAAGGACGACAGACAAAAGCCTGTGACTGTAAATCGCTACGAGAAACAGAACTAACAGCAGCGAGTCAATCAGTCACAAGCACTGAACTCAATTTGGCTGATTGTGGAGACGCACACATTTCTGAGTTGCATTATGTGGTGTTCCTGTCGCTGAGCTCAGGCTGAGGGGAGCCTTTCACCAAGCCCTGGGCCTCTGTGCTGTGATGGCGAGGGCTCCCTGCTGCTTGTTGTAAATATGCTGCTATCAGATGATAATAACTCACATTAGTGGATCAGTTCATGAGGACTGGAAAAATAAGTTGCAAAAAAGTCCTGGATGTGAGTCGCAGCGTGAAGCCTCAGAGGCGAGTTAATTAACACAGCAGCTTGCAACAACAAGCGATAGCACATCGGGATATTAGGACAAGATGCAGAAAAACACAAGGTGCGGAGGACACGTAAGGAATGAAATACAGAAATATAATGAGCATGAACAGGGCAGTAAGAATTACAGTGCCATGAGAGATAATTAACAAAGGATTTGCAAACAAACTCAGAGTTTTATCACCACACAGGTGTTTCTGCTCCAACAGCAAACTCTGGGAAATAAGACAAAGGAAAACCACAAACCTGTGCTACATGAAATGACTTTTACTTTATTATGAATCACATTCAGACGAGTAAGAGCACAGAGATCAGAGCCCCCCACCCCCAGAGACCGCGCTCAGACGTTCCTCTCATAATGTTGTCTCCTTGCTGAGAAGACAAACAGCTAAATGGACGATGCATCATCATTTTAACTTTTCAGGGAAAACCAGGTGAAAGCAAGCTCTGGTCTTCATCCAGGTAACATCATCAAAACAAGAATAACCAAATACACATGGATCAAATAAAACCTGTTTTATTTCACAAGATACACATTAAAGCTATAAAACATCACATAAAGTTATATTAAAACACAGTTTCCACATCAGCTGTTACACACATTTAAGCAGTAGAGTAGTGAAGGCAGTTTAAACTGAGATAAAGGAACGAGCACAGCCAGTGGAGTTTTGTCTGCAGCACAGTAACAGAAGGACATCTTTCCTCCTTCTGTACTGGCAAAGAGCTGCAGGGTTGTGAACAGGTCTGGTACATTGATTTATAACTCAGGAGACATGTAATATATTCAGGCAACTTACTAAATAGGGCTTTATACTGTAGATGGATAACATACAGCGATGCTCTCTTCTCAGTGTCAGAGATGGCCAGCCTACCTTCTGATATAATTCACAATGGCGAGTCCTGAAGGGATCTCCAGTAACAAATCTAACAGCAGCATGATGCACTGAGCCAAGTGGTTCCAGGGTTTTGGCAGAGGCATGCATATAAATTATATTGCCAGAGTCTACTACAGATAAAATTGATGCTTGTACCAGCTGCCTCCTGTGACTCTCATTAAAACTAAATCTGTTTCTATACAGAAACAAAAGTCTGGGCTTAAGCAAAGCAGTTAATTTCTCAATATGCAATTTAAAACTCAGCTTGTCGTCTAACCAAAGCCTGAGATTTTGTCAACGACGGCATCGTCCACTGTAGCTATATTTCAACTTAAATAATCAATTTCACACCATTTTCTAGTAAAAATCATTTACCTTGTTTTGCAAGAATTTAATGTTAGTTTAAGCTCAAGAGGATGATGCTGAGAAATGGTCAAATCAGACACTGCAAACACTGAAAAGTCTGATCAGTGGAGGGGCCACTGTGTAAATGACCATGTCATCTGCATATAAATGTATAGTAGCGCTAGTTACTTTGGATCCTACATCAATAATAAATATAGTGAATAAAGAGGGGCTCAAGATGGATCCTTGGGGCACTCCTCTAAGAACACCCATAAAATTAGACTTAAAACAATCCACCACAGCAGCTATGGTTAGAGTTACTCCCTAACCCCGAAGCTCATCATCACCTTCTGTCTTTCTGTTCGTATTAACAGTAAACAAGCAGAATCTTTCCTTTCAGCTGTGAATCAAATGTTTAGGATGAATCACAGTAATATCAACAGGAAGCTTGGTGAGCGTGTTGTAATGTGATTTGAATGTTAATGCCTTCTATCTGCCTCTCAGTGGGGCCGAGCATCTGCTTCCCATGTTGCATCCTACCACCACACTCTGCATGCATTAGCAGTCTGTCCATATTGGTACCTGAGATTAAAGCTGCCTGCTGTCTCCCACACAAAACACATTACACTATGACACACGCCTGCATCATCTGACAACCGTGTTGTCAGTGCCCCACCAGCGTGGGGCATCTGTCAGACACGTTACAGACAGATGCAAAGAGCCAGAGAGTCCGCTGTGAATTTCATCCACTGGCAGTTCGCTTCAGCAGTGTGTATGTGTGTGTGTGAGGATCACCACAACAGTCCGCTGCCTTTGACATATTATGTGATGAGTTTGGGAGTGTGCCTCAGTCAGCACCGTGGCACAAATCCAGGTTTCGTTTAGACAGTACTGAGGCAGAAGAAGACGGCGTCATAATGGTTTGATGTCGTCCTGCTGCTGTCCATGGAGAAGACATGATGCAGCACAAACATGATGTCGTAGAAGAAGGTTTTCACAGAAATGAATCTCAAAACTAAACCTGGATTTGCATTATGGGACTAACTGGGGGTCATTGTGTACAGCACCCTGACAAGCCAAGCCGTGGTCCCTGTCCGTCACGTGACACAGGTGATGGATGACACCAAACGAGCTCCGTTCATTAATAAAGAGCATGCTAGGACTAAAGTCACTGAGAACTTCTGGGCTTAGATTGGTTTGTTAGAACAGTTTGTTGAACAGTCTTGTTTTACACCCACTGACAAATCTGATTCCTACTTTAGCAAACGGTGTGAGCTGCGGACCAGTTTCATGTCTGTAAAATGTTCATACAACAGCCTCCGCTAACACACGAATAAACACTTAGATCTGCTCACAGCTAGATGGTCTATTATAAACCATTTCTAATGTTTCTATGCTGTTTATACAATACAACTATAGGGACCTAATAAAAAAGGGCTGTTGTTTGTTCTGACACAGACTTGAACTATAACCTTGTCTGATTCCCCTGGTGCTGTTAGCCTGAACGTGGCTCAGCAAAGGGACTCCAGAAACACCGAATGTGGAGTTGAGGCATGAGCCTCGGCAGCAGTTGATCAGAGAGCTTGTTTTCTTTCTCTCCTTAATGGGAAACAGAGTGAGGATTATGGCAGATTGCTCCCAGCAGCCAGCATTTGCCTTTATCCTCCATGTAAACACTCGGCAGAGAGTAGTTCGCTGCATCCAGAAGCAGCAGGACGTTCGCTGGCAGCTCCAGGAGCGCCTCACTGTGCCCGGATCTCCAGACTGACAGCGTCCCTCCATTTGGTGCTTTGTCTTTAATCTTTGCACCAACAAACTCAACTGCTCATTTACTGCAGTCATGTTTCAGCATTGCCCTAAATTTCTCTGCAATCGTTTGCCACCCATGAGCATTTGTCTGGCATTTAGCAGTGTTGCTGCCTCCCGCTGCTCCTCTGGCACCGCTCCTGCCACAGTCACAGGCCTGACATCATCACATCCCAGGGAGTTTAAGTAATTTACTCTGCGGAGTGAAATGATACTTAACGACAGACAAACAAGACAACTGGAGCAACAAATAAACAAATCAAGCAGAACAAGCCCTCCTGTCGTACACCTGCCACGTTCGTGTGCTGCAGCAGCGACAAAAGATATCGATTGTGTTGAGGGAGAGAAAGAGGCACAAAGTGAAGCAGAAGGATTTCTTACGGAGGTTTTATAGCAGCCTCTCTAAATAAAGGTAGGATACGAGTGCAGACTGCTTGTGTCTATTTTTGGCAGTCGGGGTAATGTCCAGAGATTGGAGGAGGGTAGATGAAAGGGAGACTAAAAACAGGCGGAGGTACTGGAAAAAGTACTGCTCTGTGTCTGCAATTACTGGCAGTAGCTACATTTGGACGAGCTGCTTCTCACATCCTTAATATGAGGAGACACAGCAGAGTGTCTGAGGATTTCACATGCATATTAGATGATTCTCACATGTAATGAGCCAGCATCCAGTGTCGGTGCTGGAAGTGGTGGGCCTTGTCTGTAGACATGTCAGAGGTGGGGGTGGTGGATGGATGGGCATGTCTGACTTTCATGCAGATTTGTGCTCCAACCAGAGGAAGCAGA